TCTCTCTCTCTCTCTCTCTCTCTCTCTCTCTCTCTCTCTCTCTCTCTCTCTCTCTCTCTCTCTCTCTCTCTCTTCGTTGAACGCTTCTTTCTCCTCCCTTCACGTTGACTCGTCTTTCGATCCCAAGTCCTCTCTCGCTACGTCTTCGTCACGAACGTTCGGCTCGATGTGTGGCCGCGTTTTCCGTTCACAGTCACCCTTCTCCGTTTTTTCCAAGTTTCGCCTTCTTCTCTGTTCCGGTCTCTCCCTTGCTCTTCCCTTTTTGTTGTGCGCTCCGGAGCTCTTTTTAGTCTTCTTATATCCTAAGTTACAACACTGAACCCGTCCCCATCGGAGGGACAAAATAATGTAAGGGTCACACAGTACAGAGAGAACTTAAAATGCGATTATCCCGTCCCGTAGCAGCCGACGGCGCGCTCTTTTACGCGATCCCGCCTCTCGATCTCACCCTCTCGCGTTTTATACCTCTCGTCCCGCGTCCTCTTCACTTCCGCCGCGCCGCGCACACGTCCGAGACCGAGGAATAACTTCAGAAAATAGATTTTCTATCGTTTTGACTCTTTTGTAGCTTGTTTCTTGTTTGCTGTGTTTACTGCTTGTGTGTGCGTGTGTATTGCACGTTTGCCTTTGAAAAAACCGGAAATAGCTCGTCGTACGTCCAGCTGTCTCTCCTTCGCCCTTTCTCTCTCTCTCTCTCGCTTTCTCTCTCTCTCTCTCTCTCTCACACACACACACGTTTTCCCTCTCTCTCTTTCTTTCTCTCCCCGGCCGCGTGCGTTCTTTCACTTCCTGTCTTCCTTCCTTTCCCTTCTTTCTTTTTGCAGACGGTTGTCTTACGGGTGTAAGGTAAGATTTGAAGAGAGTCCTTAGGAGAAATGTGTTGTTGCTGTTTCGTGTTTACAGTTGTTAGTAGTGTTATTTACAAATATGTAATGTTTTTGTTTTTGTTAATAAAATAGTTCAAATTAGTCTTTTGGCCCCGCGTGTCTGCTCCCGAGCGGCGGGAGCCGCAGAGTGAGGCAGCCCGCGACTCTCGACCTCCGTCTCTCCGTCGCCCCGCTTCTTCCGCCCTCGCCGCATGCGAG